CCGAGGAGTGGCTGGTGGGTTTGAACCGCCAGCCTTCTGGCTAGCAGTCCAGTGCCTTAGGCACTATTCTACCTGAGCTCCTAATTCTAGACTATAGGGTTTTAATTTAAATAAACTTTTACTCTGCTTTATAATACAAATTTGAACAATCTGAAAGCAATGATCCTTTCTTTCCTAGTTCTATAGATTATGGTTAAACACTATAATTTTTTTCTCTCAGCAAAAATTTACCAAAGAAAAAGAATTCATGATTTTATACCTTATTCCATAACTATCTCGACTACCCCAGCACACTTCATTTCAATAGTAAGCTTGGTATACAGTAATATTTTGGTTTTTTAGGACGGTAGTGAAGAAGTTAATTCATAGCTGCATATATGAGTTTTATTTATATTACATCTATAAAAACAAACAAACTACCTTTCAATTATTAAATTATTTTACCACATTCGACAAGAATGTTAATAATGCTAATCACCTACTGGTATAAAATAGATTGCTTAGCTTCTATATAAAAGCAGCGTCTGTTCAAGTAAAGTTTGGAATTAAAAATAGGGCAGTTAAGTTAAAAATCTGATTCAGTCCTTGGAGCTACCAGATGGAATAGTAAAAGAGAGGGAAAGGGAAAGAGGGAGAGAGATGGGGGATAAGAGGGAGGAGGGCGAGAGAGAAATTTTGAGGTCAGTGAAGCATCATCAATTTCTCACATTCTTGCATAATAATGTTTAAAAGGTCTAAATAACCAATCCGCTTCCCCTTCATCTCAAGATCTAAACGATGATTTAAAAAAAAAAAAAAAAGTCTTCCAGGGTACACTAGGACATTTTTCAAAATGCACAAGGTGAGGTACGAACTAAGAGCATTCTTCATACAACCACGACCTTTTCTCTGTTTTTCGTATTGCTCCTCTCAATCCAGCCAAAAAACCCAGACAAGTTTATTTACACTCACACCCGCACACGCACACACCTCGCACGCAGAGAGTGGCGGAAACGCCCTCGGTCCGTCCCTTCCAAACAATTATCTCCGAGAGCGAAAAGAAAATAATCAACAGCCCAGTGTGCCCGGCGGCGGAGCCGAAGAGCAGGGCGCGAGAAGGGAGGGCGAGCTGGGCAGGCGAGCAGGGAAACGTGGCTCCTCTACCGAGGAGAGGATTTGTGAAGAGGAGCGCTGGCCCGCGTGCGCCTCTTGTTCCCCGTGTAATTTGCAGCCAATCATCAGTAGGTGTCCACGTCCCTGCGTCCTCCTCACCTCGGCGCCAATCACCCCCCTCGCCCCCGCCCCCAGCCTCCACACCTCCTCCTTCGCCTTTTTCTCGTTCTCCCCTCCCCCAGCAACCACACACGCACACACACAAACAGAGAGAGAAGGGGGGAGGGTGAGAGAGAGAGAGGGAGAGACTCCCCGGCTCCCTCCCTCCCTCGCACACAGCGACTGGAGACGGACGGAGAGCAACGCGCTGGGAGAGGAGAGACCACCGAGAACAGCCCCGCGCTCTCACACATACACTCACACTCGGCTCTTTCCTCTCCCCCCACCTCCTCCTCCTTCCACCCCCACCACTAACACCATCTCCTCCTCCTTCTTTCTGCAACAAGAAAAAAAAAAGCCATTTACAGGTATTTTTTTTTTTTTTTGATCCGCATATTTATTTATCCCCCCCACCCAACAGTTTGTTTACAAGTATTAAAGTTGTAATTGGGAGCTGCCAAGACACATCTGGATTTGTATTTCTTTGTGTTAGGGGGTGATGTGCAACTAATTAAAGGCAGACTGGCAGCGTCTGCAAATTCTAAGGCTCCCCAAATAAAAAGAGACTGGTAAGTGATTGTTCTTTCTCTTTCTCTGGCTTTTTTTTTCTTAAATGTTTGCTGTCCGTTGGAATTGTAAAAGTAGATTATTAATGCTGGACTCCAGCAATAAAAGGCGTTGCTGTATTAATTTATTAATTAATCTGCACCCGCCCCTCCTCCTGAATGTTAAATATGACCTTTGATCTCTATGTCTCTGGTAGACCAGACATACAATATTAAGCATGTACAGTCACATTGTTTAAAGGCAAAGCAGGATCATGAAGTGTGGATGTCTAATCTAGCTTTGGTATAGGACTAGTTATTTGTATGTGCTTTATTTTGGTTTTTAAAAAAATTCCAAACAATAGCTGAGGCTTAGGTATCTTTTTCGTGCTCCAGAGATGCATTGATTAAACAATAATGACTTGGATATTGGGCACAATCATTTTCTACAGTTTCTGGTGGCATTAAACCTTAAGGGAGAAAAGGGGAAGGTGATGGCCATAAGAAAAGCAAAGGAAGCTTCTGTGTGAAAGCACCACTTTAATACTCTGAAAAAGAAACATTAAATTATTTCTTTATTTGGAACAAGGTCAAAAGACTAAAATGTTGGTATTTCCTCTTCCACTCCATGTGATGCTATCTAATGCATGGTTGGCATAACTAGTTTTACTGAGTAGCAGTTATTATGGTCTTGCAGTTACAATGTGATTCTCAGTAACTGAAGCTCTATGCATATTCTTGCTGTGCTTTCCCCCACCCCCTTCCCAAGCTTCAAGAATATTTAGCTAGGAGCATTTTGGGTGCACCCTTTGTATTGCCATCCGATGTCTAAAGGGAGCAGCTTTCCCTAATTCCAAACCACAGAGGTGGTTCCTGAGTGATTAGGGACTTGCTGTGATTGAAAGATGCCTGCTAGCTTCTAATCCAGCCTGGGGTGAGGTTCCTTATCTTGATTTACTTTGCCTAATAGGGATTTGTTTACATAAACTCCTCTTTTTTAGGGCACCTCATCAATAAGGCTTGAAGTTTTTGCTCTTGGAGTTTGGGCATAAATGGTTCATTAATCTAATTATAAGCATAATTACTATAATTGATATCCATTTTGAACTCTGAATACTTGAGACTGAGACTACTGGGCCCCTATTTAGATATTCCCAAACTCCACATTCTAGACTTCAAAAGATGTCACAAAAGATATTCTGGGGGAAAAAAATCTGGAAACAAAGAAACTGGGAGGTATTTTTTTTTTGGTAATATAGACTTTATGTCTTTGCTTTACTTTTTAAAAGGTGGTGATGTACCTCTCCCTCTGTAATAAACAACATATCTCTTCCTAAAGCATAATATTGGCCTGTAGAAATGAGATGAATGCAAATATCCAGTTAACATTAAACTTTCCTTGAAAAAAAGAACAAAAGAACAAAATGGTTTTAGTGGTTTTTTTCTTCAGGTAAACAGCACCCTAAGGGATTTTTGCCCTTCACTACATGTAAAAATCAGTGTCTGTGGGAAATCCTTTTCAAAAAGTCCCATGCTTTCTTCTTGTCTTGGGAAGAGACAGGAGTCTCCATTAAAACAACAACAACAAAAAGATTGGGAATATTCTTAACAGAGGCTGCAAGCACTTGGTTTAAAACCTGTGACATTGCTTGTATCACCATTATTATTTATTTGTATTTGTATTTAGTCTGTCTGTCTTTCTTTTAAACAAGGAGAACACTCTCTAACCTCTACCAAGCTCTACTACCAAATGGCTTGTACAATTGAGACCTGTCCTTGGTCCATTGAATTAAGATCCTAACAGAGCCAGCTGTGCTGGGATTCAAACTAATGACCGCAGACACAGAAGGACACTGTGGCAGCTGGTAGTTCTTTTTTCCCTGCCTCTTTAGTTCAGATTGTGTATGGGCAGTCTCTTAGCTCTCAGTTGTATTGTGTTTGCTTACAGTTTATACTCGGATGTATTGTAGACTTTCTCAGTACTTCATTTGCTAATTTCCTGTTCATTTTCTTCATAGAGCCATAGCTGTTTTCTACTTTACAACATTTGCATGCCAAGCAGCATTTGTTCACACATTTCATAATGTTTAAATGCCCTCTGCTTATAGGTAGTATCGCCCTCCCACCCCTGATTTGCATGTCTTTAGCACTCCAATTGCCCTTTTCCCTCGGCATTTGTCACCCCCGTCTTCCCTCTTTCCCTGGGTATCCTGGCTATTAATACATTTTCTCAGAAGGGTTATAAGAATAGGGGGGAGGAGCTGTGGTGTGCTGTGGGGAGGGAAGGAGGGGGGGTTGGGAGCTTAAAGGGGGGATGGGAATGGGGGGTGATCACATCTTGATGATTGTTATGCAAACGACCTGACGGATGAATGTGGGAGCTTTTGGTATCTGTGGTAGGGTAGTGAGGGAGGCTGTTTATTTATTTTTTAATCTTCTTCCTCGTGCAGCTCGTTGGAATGACTTTCTTTATTTTAGTTGTAACAGTTGGAGGATAATGCAAAGGAAGACGCTGCCTGGGAATTCACCGTCTGTGGAAATGCGCCCCAGAGAGGAATAAAGCAACCCTCACCTTGCTCTCCCCACCCGGACCCACTTTCCCCTCCTGCCTCGGCCCCCACCCCAACACCACCATCACCCCTTTTCCTCCTCCCCACCTCCCCCCCTTTCCCACCCAGGTGTCGGACCAGGAGGTCCCCACTTCCACCCTGCACCCCTTCTTCCCACCCTGCACCATGAACACCAATGTCTGCGTGGAGCCCGGGCCAAGCCCGGAGGCCCCGGGCTTGCCCAAGGAAAGCCACCTGCCAGAGGGGGCTCTAAACAGCCTTGTGGATTACAACTCTGAGATGGAGCGCTACCGCTCCTTTGCCACCTCCTTCTACAAGACCAACGGGGGCGCCTTCCCGCAGGCTGCCAAGATCGCGCGCATC